GCATTATTGAGATTTAATTCACATAACATACAATTCACCCAGTTAAAGTGTGTAAGTCAATGGTTTTTAGTATATTCAGAGTTGTGCGAATCTCACCACAATCAATTTTAGGACATTTTCACCACCCCCCAAAAAAATCCTGTCAGTAGTATCCATTAGCAGTTATTTCACATTTCCTCTCCAATCAGCCAGCCTTATATAGCCAGCAATCTACTTTCTGTCTCTATAGATTTGCCTATTATGGAAATTTCATATAAAGGGAACGATACAATATGTGGTGCCTTGTGACTGACTTCTTTCACTTAGCATAATGTTTTCAAGGTGCATCCATATTTTAGCATACATCAATACTTCATTTCTTTTCATTGTCAAATAATGTGCCATCATATGGACATATCACATTTTATTCATTCATCAGTTGATGGACATTTAGTTTGTTTTCCCTTTGACTATTAAGAAAAACGGTGCCATGAACATTCATGTACAACTTTTTTGTGGGATACATGTTTTCATTTCTCTTGGGTATATACATAGGAGTGAAACAGCTGGTTCATATAGTAACCCTTTCACCTTATAAGGAACTTCCAAACTGCCTTCCAAGTTGACTACCATTTTACATTCCCACCAGCAGTGTGTAACTGTTCCAAATTCTCCATATCTTCACCAACACGTTATTGTGTTTTGATTATAGCCATCCTACGGAAAGTATAGTGGTCCTTTTTTAAAATTGGCATTGTGTTATTTTGTGGACTCAAAATCTTTTCTTATCCCTTGGAAAGTGTTATTTTTTTAGATTTTCATTTGTTCCCTGAATTATCACTCATTGAGATTCACTTTTGTTTCTGGATTTCTGCCTTTATATTTAGAGTCATTTCACAAATGTCCATGATAGTTGCCTGGATACTCATATTTAAAACTCAAAAACTTACTGAAAACCCTATGTTTATAAATAGGGCTTTTTGATGTGTGGCCACCCACATTTTCACTGGGCACTCCCATATATTACTACTTACGGATCTTTTCTCTTGGGTCATTTTGCTTCTCCAGAGAAGACTGTTTTATCTCCTATCTGAAGCTATGTTTACACCAAACTGCAGGACCTCTGGATATAGAGCAGGGCAAGGAGCTGGCAGTTCCACCAAGCAGCATAAAAAATTTATTTGATCTTTCTGACATTTGACCTGAATCCCTCCCCTACTAAATACTCAACCAGCTGTCCCTAAGTTGAGAGTCTCACTAGTTTAATGTCTCCATATCATATACCTTCAGTTTTCAGGTGTATGGGTAAAAAGTTAGCTGCTTGACTGTAAAATAGAGTAACCTAAGAAGGTCTAATAGTCTGTGTCCTGACTTTAAAGGAATCTCCTTTTTAGCTTCACACTTGAACTCTGAATTCTGCAGTACAAGGTTCATTCAAATTCCAGGACTTTCTTCAATTCTGTAGGGTAGATAATCTCTTTTCATCACTATTTCTGTTTCTAGGCACATGGATACTTATCTCTTTCTATGCTCTACTATCTTGTTAAAATTTTTGTTTGTTTCTGTCTTCTCTCCTATATTTTGACCTAATGGACTGACACTTCAAAACATGCCATTACTGACATTTTTGTTAAGTTCTCAGAAGGTGTCATAGTTCCTACTCGCTCCCCCCCCACCGCCCAATTCACATCTTCTCAAATCTAAAATACATTCATTTCATCCAATTTCCCCAAAGTCATAATCTACTCCAGCATTCACTCAAAAGTCTAAAGTCTAAAATCTCATTTAAATCAGATATGGATAAGGCTCAAGGTACACATCCTTCTGAAACAAATTGACCTCCAGCTGTGAACCTGTGAAATCAAACATGTTATGTGCCTCTAAAATACAATGGTGGGACAGACATAGGATAGACATTCCAATTCCAAAAGGGAGAAAAAGGAAAGAAGAAAAGGGATACATGTCCCAAGTAAATCCAAAATACAAGACAAATAACAATAAATCTTAAGGTCCAAGAACAATCTTCTTTGGCTTGATGCATGCTCTGCTTTCCAGGCCCACTAAGATTGTGCCTTCTGGACACACTGGAATAGTAGACTTACTCCTGCTGCTTTGCTGGGCATGTGTTGGGCCCCATAGCTTGGCCAGACAGCCCCACAGCTCTTAGCATCCCTGACCCTATAGCTTGGCCAGACAGCCCCACAGCAGCTCTCTGCCTGGGCCTCACTTCTGGGCATCTCTGTGACTGTGTAAGATGGTTCTCCTGGTCTGGGGTCCCAAGCTCAAGGCTGTGCTGTGAGGTCTGTTCCTTTGAAACCGACATGGAGCCAGCCATGCCCCCTGGCTTGTGCTCTTGACATGCTGGTAGAGATTTGGACCTCTGGAGGGGTACTGTAGCCCACATTGTACTTGGGCCCACTGGAGCTGTACCTGGGGCAGCTGAGGAACTCAGTGTCTGAGTGCTGGGCAGTGTGCCCTGAGGTCCCACATGCTCCTGTGGCCCCTGCTTTGCATTCTTCCATTATCTTGAACAATAGCTCCTGGCTTCAGTCGTGATGGCTGACTAATCTCCTTATCAGATGGTCATTTGGTCACAACTTTTGAGTTTTCTCCTGAAAAGTCCTCATTATTTGCAATATGGATGAGAATTTTTCAAACCTTTAAATTTTGCTTCCTTTTTGATTAACAATTCCATCTTCAAGTTATTTCCCTCTTCTCACATTTTACTATACAGTCAAGGGATGTCGAGCCACACTTTCAACACTTTGCTTAGTTATATCCTCTGCTAAATAACTTTATTGCACACAAGTTCTAATTTCCACAAAACACCAGAACATGAACACAATTCCATCTAGTTCTCTGCCTCTTTGTAACAAGGATAGCCTTTTCTCCATTGTACAGTAAACTTCTAATATTATAAAATATATATTTGGTCTTGGTCCCTGCTTTCTAGTATACAACTATTAAAAAAATCCTTGGAATCTCCAAAGGAATAAATGTCTTTTTATATACTGATGCATTGACTATTGGCTGGTAGCACCTAGGTAGTTTCAGGATGGGGGCTGGTCACCAAAAACACCAAGGCACGGTTCTCCAGGGGAAGGTGGAGGAGCCAAAGGTTAAGCTGATTACCAATGGTCAATGATTTAATCAATCATGCCTATGAAAGAGGCTTCCATAAAAACCCAAAAGGACTGTGTTTGGAGAGGTTCTAGATAGCTGAACACATGGAGGTTTCTGGAGGGTGACACACACTGAAAGAGCATGGAAGCTCCATGCCCCTTCCCATATGCCTTGCCCTATGCATCTCTTCCATCAGGCTGTTCATCTGCATCCTCTGTAATACCTTTTATAACAAATGAGTAAACATAAGTCAGTCTTTCCCTGAATTCTGCAAGCCACTCTAGCAAATGAATCAAACCCAAGGAGAGGGTCATGGGAACCCCTGATTTATATCCAGTCAGAAGTATAGGTGACAACCTACTTCTTATGACTGACTTCTGAAGTGGGGGCAATCTTGTGGGACTCAGCCATCAATCTGTGGGATCTGACACTAACTCCAAGTAGATAGTGTTAGAACTGAACCAAATTGGAGGACACCCAGTTGGTGTCTGCTGGAGAATCATCTGTTGCAGAGTCTGCCTGAAAATTGGTTCCTGGTGAGGAGAAATCCCTACACATTTTGGTGACCAAAGATGCTGTGTTGTACTGAGTGGTGGGAGAGCAGGAAAAACACTTTGGTTTTTTTCTATCTTTAGAAACATGTTCCTCATTTCCATATGAGACCTCATCAGAATGGCCTTTACTGTGGATTTTCTACCAATATTGTATGTTCATGATTACTTAGCTATTCTCTAAGATTAAGGCTTTTTCTACAACTCTCTTTTCTTTCTGAATCTTCATCAGAATCACCTTTAAAGATCTGCTCACAGCAATGTAGGCTTTTTCTAGTACTCATTTTAAAATTCTTCCATCCTCTACCCATTACCCATTTCCAAAGCTGCTTCCATATTCTTTTGGTATTTGTTATAGCATCACCCCACTTCTCAGTAACAATTTTCTGTCACAGTCCATTTGGGTTGCTATAATAAAATACCAAACTGGGTAGCTTATGAAAAATAGAAATTTAGGGCTGGCCAGTTAGCTCAGCTGGTAGAGTATGGTACTGACAACCCTACATCAAGGGTTCTGATCCTCATACTGGCTGGCTATCCCAAAAAAAGGGGGGGGGATGTATTTCTCACGGTTCTGGAGGCTGGCAAGTCCAAGATTAAGGAGCTAGCAGATCTGGTATCTGCATAGGGCCCACTACCTCATAAACAATGCCTTCTGGCTGTGTCCTCATATGATGGAAGGGGAAAACGTTGGTCTCCACAGCCACATATAAGGTGATCAATCTCATTTATGAGGGCTCTTCCCTCAGGACCTAATAACCTCCCAAAGACCCTAAGTCCTAATACCATCAAACTGGGGATTAGATTTCAACATATAAATAATATTGACACAAATATTTATTCCATTCATAGCAGAAGGAGAGATGTATGTGTATAGTGGTCATTCAGCTATGGTTAACCTTTGTTTTTATTATGAAGAGAGTTTAATCAACTAAAAATTAGATACAAGATTATGATTTACATATTAATTACTAACTTTAGCAATAGTTCTGATATAAAACTTGAATTAAAAATCCAAATCTTTAAAAATATTCTATTCAGGGCCGAGCCCGTAGTGCACTCGGGAGAGTGCGGCGCTGGGAGCACAGCAGCGCTCCCGCCGCGGGTTCGAATCCTATATAAGGATGACCGGTGCGCTCACAGCGCTCACTGGCTGAGCGCAGTGCGGCCGGTCTCAAAAAGGACAAAAAAAAAAAATTCTATTCAATAAAACATAATTAAAATAAAAACAGAAAACTTAATAAGGGTCTAGAGTGGTTTTATCCTACGTCTTATGTTAGGAGCTTATCTAAAATAGTTCTAGTTATAAATTATTTGGGGTTACTATGAATTCACTAACTGACTTACCTCTTTTGTTCCTAATGTTACCAGAACATCTTCAGCCAGGGGAATTACTACAAAAACAAAACAAAACAAAATAATTACACATACGCTTAGTTAATTCTCAAAAATCAAGAATTTAATTCTCTGGTTTTCTAAGATAACCCTTTCCCTCTCCATTTGTATATTACACAACTTTTTAAGAAATGTGTGCAGTTTTTATGAAATTATTTTTATTTAATATCTTTGCACATATAACCCTCTATACAGTAGTCTCTCCTTATCTGTAGTTTCATTTTTCTGGATTTCAGTTACTCAAGGTCAGAAAACATTACATAACTACTCTTGTGCTTTGGGGTCATTATTAAGTAATATACGGGTTACCTGGACACAAACATTACAATAACATGACTGTCCACCTGATATCCGAGAAGGCTAAGTGACCAACAGCAATCCGGGCAGGACCGAGCAGGATAGAGCACGACAGAGCTCAGAACAATGCACAATATAAAATGTATGCATTGTTTATTTCTGGTATTTTCCATTTACATCACAATGCCTACATCATTTACCTCATATTACCTCATCACACAGGTATTTTATCATCTCACATCACAAGAGTGAATACAGTATCCTACATCATTTACCTCATATTACCTCATCACACAGGTATTTTATCATCTCACATCACAAGAGTGAATACAGTATAATAAGATATTATGAGAGAGAGAGACCACACTCACATAACTTTTCTTACAATATATTGTTATAATTGTTCCATTTTATTATTATTGTTAATCTCTTATTGTGCCTAATTTATAAGTTAAAGTTTATCATAGGTATGTATGAATGGGGGGGGAAATGGTGTAAATAGGGTTCAGTACTATCCAACATTTCAGGCATCCACTTGGAACATATCCCCCATGGATAAGGAGGGATCTACTATATATAAGTTGGATCATATTTATGCATTTTGTTAGTGCCTTTTTCTTTTCTTCTTGTTTGTCTAAGCTCTCAAAAGCAAAGTTAATAATCTATGGTGTGTTCTTCAAATATTTTTCTGTGTGGTCATATTATCATACCTATATATACATATATGCATATATATACTTATAAACACACATAAATATATATAAAAGTTATTATTTTTGTGATTGCTGGTTTTATTAGAATGGAATCATATCATACATATTATTCTTGTCTTGTTTTCACTCAAAACTCCCATGGAAACCCTTTCTATTCATCTGTTATAGATCAAATTCATAATTTTTAATGGCTGCATAATATTCTACAGTGTGAATACACCATAATGTATTGAGTGATTCCCCTACTGACTGAGCATTAACTTTGTATGTAGTTTTTAGCCATAACAAACAAGGATGCAGTAAGCATCCTTTTATTTGTCTTTATGTATTGGAACTTTCATTTTATCAATAAGACAAATTCCCAGAAATGGAATTTCAAAGAATGAAATGTGTATTTTGAATTTTAATAGAGGACATTAGATTCCTAAAAACATTTCTATGAGCAATGAATAAAATCAGCAAAAGATATTATAAACTCTTCCAAAATTTTTGACAGTCTGATAAGTAGAAATGGATATTTAATTTTTCATAGCAAAATTTAATAAGTGTTTAATCCTTATACTAGAAAAGTTTACCTTTCCTAATCAAGTGCTATATGAAATTTCTTAAATGATATGCTACTGAAAACCTTCAAAGGTTATCTGATATTCTAGACAGGCTACTAGCAGGAAAGAACTTTCTACGCATGCTTCTTAGGTCCTGTATTAGAACTGGTTGTAAGCGTCTTCAGGATGGCTACTAAATCATTGCAACAAATGCAATGAGAAAAGTTCTAAGAATATAAAGTTCAAAAAAATCTCCCTCTTCTTGGTCAGGATGGCCAAGAGTAGTATTTCAACATCCATTCAAACAGTCAACAAATACAATATGACAGATTATAAGAATAAACAGATTTCTTAAATCCTTCTGATGCGGCAGCATGTGGGACTGGCAACCCTAAGATAAGTGGGTATGAGGCCAACAAGGCAAAAGACTTATATACTCAAAACTACAAAACACTGTTTGTTTAAAGAAATTAAAGAATACATAAATAATGGAAAGACATTCTGTGTTCATGGATTAAAAATTAATATTGTTAAGATGTCAATACTATCCAAAATGATGTATAGATTCAATGCAATCCCTATCAAAAATCCCAACCATGTTTTCTTCAAAAATAGAAAAATCCATCCTAAAATTTACGTCAAACCTCAAGGGACCTCAAATAGTCAAAATAATCTCGAAAAAGAACAAAGTTGAAGGTCTCACACATCCAGATTTCAAAACTTACTACAAAGCTACAGTAAACAAAACAGTATGGTACTAGCATACAGACAGACAAACAGACCAATGAATAGAATAGTGTGCCTAGAAATAAACCCTCACATATATGGTTATATGATTTTTGACAAGAGTAAGAAGCCAATTCAATGGACAGTGTTTTCAACAAGTGATCCTGGGAAAACTGTACCTACATGTACAAAGAAATGAAGTTGGACCTAACACCATATCCATAAATTAACTTGAAATGGATCAAAGACCAAAATGTAAGAGCTAAAACTATAAAACTCTTAGAGGAAAACATACGAGAAAAGCTCCAAGACATTGGATTTGGCAATGATTTATTGGATATGTCACCAAAAGCTCAGGCAACAAGAGAAAAAGTAGAAATATAAGACTAAGTCAAAATTTAAGACTTCTGTGCATATATTGCACAGAGACACTTAGGCTTTAGTAATAAAAAAAAATCTACTAATTGGGTACTATGACTACAAATTTTTAAGGCATCTTCTATTTCTCAACTAAAGACAAAAATATAGTTGGCTCCAGTTGGACAAGTCAGGAGAAAACATACAAATGATGTGACCCTTATGTAAATAAGATCTAAAATAAAATAGCTCTTCTCTTCCACTAGGTAAGTTTCATTCATTAATAATTTACTATTTCTATTAAGCATAAGGCAGTGTCTATGAAGATAAAATAACTATAATAAGGTCTCCATTGACAGATGTTTGTCTACATTAATAAAATAAACACAAAATAATGTGTAAAAAGAAAGAAAAATGGAGTGGTTTCCTAATATCAATGGAATTTAGGCAATTTCAAGAAGACCAAATGGATCTTGTAATTCTTACAATCATTAAATTAATTTGCCATCAATTTGTTTACAAAAATACAAATCTATAAATAAGATTCTTACTTTCAGGTGTCTCTTTCTGCCATTGACTGAGTTCAGCAGTCAAACATTTCATTTGCATAATTAATAATGATAGCTACAAAAAAAGAATAAGAGAATAAAGCAAAGTCATTTCTTGTAGAATATTCATAGCTATTCATAGATGAAAACGTAGCATTCCTAAGACTTTAATACTGGTTCCTAACATAAATAGCTAATAAAATAGCTACCCTCAAACTATAAAAAATTATCACTACAAACAATTGTTTTAAATCATGCTAACTAAATTGCCTGTTATATAATAATATAGTATTAACAATGATAAATTCTGCTTCACCACTTAAACTAAAAGAATCTAAGTACATTAAATTTTTTCCTAAATAAATATACCATAAAGTAAAAAAATAGGATGTCATTTCTTGCCAACGTTTTTTAGACAAGTTTCCTTTAAATATGTTTTTTCCTCTTTGCCCTTTAAAAAAACAAAAACCTCTAATGTTTTTAGCTGAGTAGCCAAAAATAAATTTAGAGAACTTTATGGAGACAATTATAACATGAGACTGGTTCCACAAGCCACACATAAAAACCAGGTTTACTACACAATAGTTTCTAAATTGTGTATCCCTCAGCCAAAGATAAAGGAAGGTGAGTATGTTTTTGGTATTAGGTGACTCCAGTCATTCTAATTTTGATTACTACAAATCTACATGAAAATCTGTTGACTCATTAGACAATAACAGTAAAGTCCATGTATGCTTAAAGTTAAATTTCAGAGCATTTTTTATCTTCCATTTATAATTCTTACTGGTATCCAGACATATCAAAAATTCACATTTCAAAAACCCAATGGATATTACCACAGTATTTACACTACAAGGGCACCAAGTACTGCCTTTTTAACCAACAGTAGCTCAAAGACACTGCTCTGTATCAGAAAATTGCCTGTTGAAAACACATCAGAAGAAAAGTCTCTTTGAAAGCTTTAAATAATTATACAAAAAAATGCATTTACAGGTATTTAAAATCTTTTCCAAAGAAGAGTTTAATATTTAAAGATAATTAAATAAGAATGAGGAAACTTTTTTGTGAACTATAAAGCAATTTATAGATGTTAATAATTACTACTAGAAAAAGTTTTTAAAAAGTCATATTTAAATAGGCTAAACTACCATATAATGATAAAGAATCCATATCATTTCTGTTCATATTAAGTTGAAACATAAAGATATTCATTTTTAACCTGTAAAAAACAGTAATTTCATACAGTTCAACCTCACACTATATTGGTAATACACAGCTCTTGGCTTGCCAAAGCCCAGCAAGGAAAACATCCAAATTATTTCTGATCTTGCTATAAAATTAAACAACCCTTTCCTAAGGCAAGAAAATAACAGCAGTATTTCTAAAGTAATCGAAGGACAAAAATTTGAGAAATCATGCTATTTTCTCCGTTAAAATATCTAATTTCTTGCTTTAACAAATGGATTGAGTTTTAATATTGAAGATTTGAAGTGAAAAGGTGTCAGAAAAGAGTTTAAAAAGCAGGCCTGAAACTGCTATCCTTACGAAGAACTGCTCGCAAGGATGGCCCTTGGCTGGCATCTGGGAACCTGGATTTTAAGATGGTTCACACCAATCAAACCAATAAAAGTGGCTCAGTGTGCCTAAACTAGGTGTGTAAAGATTATGGTTTACGTTGAACACCCGCTTTCCTTCTGGTATTTTGGTACCTGCTAAGCAGACAGTGCCTATGTGAACAGCTCCCACTAAAAACTCAGGGTACTAAGTCTCTAATGAGGTTCTCTGGTAGACAACATCTCCTACATGTTGTCAAAACTCATTACTGGGAGAAGTAGTCGTGTCCTGTGTGAATCCACTGGGAGAAGACCCCTGAAAGTTTGTGCCTGTTTACTCTGGACTTCCTCTCATGCTTTTTCCTTTGCTAATATACTCTGTATCCTATCATTGCAATAAATGTTAGCCATGAATACACTATACTCTGAGTCCTGTGAGTCCTAGAGAACTATCAAACCTGGGAGTGGTCTTGGGGACCCTCAACACTATAGGAAACCACATACTGCGAATTATTTGGATATACTGTTATTATTGACTTTCTCAGGACACTCCAAGTTTATAACTACATGAGCAACCTCCTAAAAACCAATGTTTGGCTCACCGCATGAAAACCATTCAGGAAGTTTATATCCCAATGCCTAGTGATTCTGATTCAGTATGTCTCAATTTCTATAATGTAGGAAAAACACTTCCCAAAGAAACCAATGATACTTTACTTACTATATAATGTTTTTCCAAATAAAACATTCCATTTTATTCTGTGTAACAAAGCTGTATACTTGCATCCTGTACAACATAGCTGTATACAGATTCAAATTCTATGGATACAAAAGATGACTTGATTCTTTATCACCAATTTCTAGATAAAGGTCTGGTATAACAAGTACTTCCAAAAATGACAAATTAGTTTTTCCCCTTCTTTCTGTATCTCTCTCATTTTTTATTGAGTATCATTATACTCACAAACTCATTTTTTCATATTGTTATAATCAATTAAAGCCATTATTCTTTACGGGACAGCAGGCCCACCTTTAAACTGGTTCTTCTATCTTTTGACATGCCCCACTAATTCTGGGGAACTTGCACTGGAATCACCTGTATATTTGACTTTGTTCTTAGAAGTTTTATGAATAAAATGTTTTTAACTTTTTACATGGTGAAATACATCTAACTTTTCTTTTATAATGTCTAGATTTCCACGATTAGTCAAGAAGTTTGCCATGTGACAACCTGCATTGCTGTGGAGAGTCACCACCGAGAAAAAGGCCCTCACTAGATGTGCCCCCTGGATTGCAGACTTCCCAGCCTCCAAAACTGTAAGAAATAAATTTCATTTCTTTATAAATTACCCACTTTCAGGTATTCTGTTATAAGCAACAGAAACAAACTAATACAGATATCTTAATCCTTTTTGTTAAGCCTAGAGCAAAATCAATTAAGATTCCACACAGATATTAAATTATCTGTGGCTATTATATCTAACACAAAGTAGGATAACCTTTGTTCTAATTTTTAACAAGTTATTGTAATAACAACCAACAAGCAATTCACTCAACTATTAAATTATGTACAGCTGTCAAAAGACAAATACTAAAGAAAATGTTCTGTTATTTACAATAGCTTGTTCGAAACATTTTTAGAATATGTCTTTCAACTCTTAAATCACAAAGAGTAGGGAGTTTTGCAAATGATATTTGCAAATCAGGTATTAACAAAGCTATTATACTTGGGATAAATACAGACAGAAATACTTCTTCTCCAAAATGCAATGAACTCCACTTACCTATTTTTAGGAAGAAAAAAAAGATTCATACCTGAACATCTGAATCAGTGAGTGTCTCAGTTCCAGTAAGTGATAATTTATTCTGACACTTGATTTAAAAAGTAAAGAAAAACAAGTCACACACTATAACCCAGACAATTCCCTCCCTCCCTTTTTTACCAATCCAATGTAATAATCCTGTAAAACAATATATAAATACCTCATATAAAAGATGAATTTGTTTAAATTCTTTACTTTCTAAGCAAGAGGATCAAGGAGGCAGCCAAACAGATCCCAAGGTGAATACATCAAAAGGAAAAGGGGATACAACAAGTAGAATGAAGGAAAGAGAACAAAACTAAAAGCTAGGGTGAATTAGAAGCCAGATAACAGAAAAATGGGAAACAAGAGAATAAGAGGAAAAGCACTGTAATGTAGGTAAGAAGATAGTATATATCATAAGAAAATAAAGACTTCAGAAGACATTGCTTCTGTGCCACTAAAAAAAATCCAAAACTGTGAATAATGACTATAACTGAGAAATAAAAATATGGATAATTTAAATTTTATTTGTGCTTATTTCTGGTTGCGTTATTTTTCTATAAAAAATTTTTAAGGTTAAATCCAAATTTCTATACTAAAAAAATACCAAAAGCAAAAAAAGATTATATACTTGAAAATACATTAATAATACAGAGTACCAAGGATTTATGTTAAAAATCATTTTAAAAAAAGAGGAAAAACGCCACTAATCTCCCCTACTCTCAAACTTTACTGGGAAGAACAGGATGCTGAAAATGTCTGTGGCTTATATCACATTACATTAGGTAAAACAAAATTTTACCAGCATACTATAATACCAAAAGCAGTTCTAACTAACTCAGAAAACGTACACATATTTGACACTCAACATTTTCCAAATTAATCCATATTTTCCCTCATAATTATGTGTTCTTCCCACTTCTATATTCTCTATTTTAGGGAATAACCCCACCAACCACCCAATGGCCCAAACCAGGAACCTGAAACTACACATGAAAATTCCCTCCCATTTCACATCAATTAACTTCTAAGTCCCTTTGGTCCCATCTCCTTAATATCTCTTGAATTCATTCTTCTATTTGCAGTGACAGTATTTTGGCCTTCATTACTTCTTATCAGGACTACTAATAGAGCCTCCTAAATACTCTTTTTACCTGCAGTCTCACTTTTCTGCATTCTATTTTCTTTGAAGCCACCAATGTAATTTTCCCAAAATGCTTATCTGATCATGCCACTTCCATGCTTATTATCCTTTAATGATTCCCCATAGTACAGACTCAACAAAATCTTTCATGTTTTTGTCCCTATTACCTCTTTAATTTTACCCCACAAGTCCTTCTCCTAATTTACAATAGCCATAATATTCTACTTAGAGTTCTCTAAACTTCCCCAACCTTTACATATTTTGTTCTTTCTGCTGTGTATACCTCTCCTACTTTTACAGACTAACTCCTATTTATCCTTAAAAGATATGATAATCTCTTTTAGAAAGCTATCCTTGACCCCATCAGCCTGGGTTTAGTACTCCTAAGTATAGTCTTTGTACTTCTACCACAATACTTCTATTGTATTACAACATAATGTAATGCCTATGCCTGCATAAGATGATAATCTCCTTGAAGACAGGGACTGCCATATTTTTTCTCTTTCTATAGTTCATCTAGTATAAAGTTTCTTAAATGAATGCTGACAGATCTAAAAACTATACAAATATTAATCATACATAAGAATGGCTTTTGGGAACTAGCATAATTATTTCTTCCCTAAGTCCAGTTATTATTGAAATTGTACTACCCCCTATTGTTTAAATCTTATGTTAATTAGATATATCACATTTATCTCTTGATACTTACTTCTTCCATATCTTTCCACATTTCTTCACATTCTTTAATAAGTTCTTCTTCAGTATCTGTAACATCTCCCACATCTGTAGTACTATCTGGATTTAGATCTTGCTGATTCACTGACATGTGCTTTGTGATTTTCTTAGCTTTATGATAAGAAAAACTAAAGTAAAAAATGTTTATTCATTCAACAGTATTTGTTGAACACTTATTACCTGCCAGATGCTCATCTAGGTGTAAGGATACAGCAGTGAACAAAAACTTGAAAAAATAGACAAAACCTCCTCCTACCATGAAGCTTATTCTGTCTTGTTAAGGAAAACAGACAATAAACAAACTATATATACATATATGTTTGTACATATATATACATATATTTGGTATTTGATATACTACAGTTTATATATATATATATATAATGAAATGATTTATAAGTGCCATGGAGAAAAGCAAGGCAGGAAAGAAACACAGGGGGTACTAGGGCAGGGACAATATAATTTTAAATAAGGCGGCCATATAAGGTCACCGAGAAGTTCACAACTAAGTAAAAAGACATGAAGTAGATAAGGAAGTGAGCTATGGGAATATAAAAGGGAAAAGGCTCCAGGCAGAGGGAATTACAAGTGCAAAGTCTTCGAGGCAGGAATATAACTGCTGTGTTTCCACAGCTGTAAAGCAACCAGTGTAACTAAAGCAGAGTAAGGAAGGCAGAGAGTAGAAGATAAGGTCAAAGAGACAATAGGGCAAGATCATGTGAGCTTTATGGCCGTTTTAAGGACTGAGGCTGAGATGGTAAGCAATTAAAGAGTTTTAAGCAGAGGAATGATATCATTTAAATTACATTTTAATAGTACAACTCTGGTTTAACTACAACCAGTAAGGAGGTAAGCAGGAAAACCAGTGAGACAGCTATTACAATGATCCCGGAAAGACATGGACCAGGATAATATTGATAGAGGCAGTACAAAATGTCCAATTCTGGATATATTTTCAAGACAGAGCCAATAGGATTTCCTAACAATCTGCATATAAAGTGTCAAAGAAAGAGAGAAGTCAATTATTACTAAAAGAGTTTGGGCCTAAGCAAACTGGAAGGATAGAGTTGTCAGTTACTGAAATGAGGAAGATGGTGAAAGAAACAGATTCAGCAAAATGTGGGAGGAATGCTGATTAAGAATTCAGTTTGGGACATGCTAATTTTGAAGTGTCTATTAGTGGAGCTGCTGATTAAGCAACTGGGCCTGCAATTCAAAGGAAAGTTTCAAGCTACAGATATAAATTTGAGAGTAATCACCATGCAGATACATAAAGCTGGGTGAAATGAGAAAAGGAAGAGTGTACTGGATAGAAATGAGACAATCTCTAGACCTGGAGAGATTGAGGAGATGAAGAACTACCTAAATAGTCTGAGAAGGAGCACCCAGTAAGGTAAAAGGAAAACCAAGAGTATAATATCCTGAAATCCAGGATACAAAAGTGTACAAGGAAGGAATGATGAACTGTTAAATACTGGAAATAATTAAAGATATAAATAGAGAATTGACAATTTATTTAGTAATATGGACAGACAAGATTGTATTTTCGAAAAATAGTCACGGCAATATTTCGGGTTGTTACTCCCAATGGAGAGGCAGTCTTCTCCCCCTCCTCTTGAACCTGAGTATACTTCGTGACTGCCTTTATGAACAGAATACAACAGAAGTGACATCACATGCCTTTCAAGACTAAGTCATAAAAGAAAATATAGCCTACATCTGGTTCTCTCTCTCTCAGAACACTCACCCTGGCAACCCAGGCACCACGCTGTGAGGAAGCCCAAACTAGCACAAAATGAAGAGACCACATGGAAAAGCCCATGTGGAAAGGAACTGAGATTCCCAGCCAAAGCTAGCATCAACTGCCAGACATGCACGTAAACAAATTTTTTAATATTCCTAGGCTTTGAGTCTTCTAGCCAGGGCCCCAGACATTGTGAAGCAGAGACAAACTATCCCTGCTGTATCCTATTTGAATTCCTAATGCATAGAATCCATGGGCATTATAAATGGCTGTTTTACACCTCTAAGTTTTGGGGCAATTTGTTACAACAATTTCTTCATAGTAAACACACAAAAATGGAGTACATTATTTACCTTTATAAGAATAGTTTCAATAGAATAGAAGAGTGAGAATGAAAGCCTGATTAAAGTGGATTTTAGAGAGAATGGAAAGCAAGGAATAGGACATATCCAGTATATAAAATGTTTTCAGAAATTTTTTTTTTTTTCTGAAGGAAAAGAGAAATAAAGTTACTAGCTGAAGAGAGATCTGGGATTAAGAGAGTTTTTCTTTTTTTTAAGATGGGAGAAAATACAGCATGTTTATATGACAGAGTAAGAGAAGGAAATACTGCTGATACAGGAGAGATGGGGGAGAAGAAATAATGGGATCTAGTACATAAGTAGAGGGGTTGACTTAAGATAAATGTACATGCAGTTCATCCATGTTAATGGGAAGGTCAGCAGAATATTAAGAGTGCATATGCAGGTAGGTAAGTAGATATGCTGGAAGAAGCTTGTGGAAGTTCTGTTTGTATTGCTTCTCTTTTCTCAGTAAAATGGAAACTAAGTTCATCAGCTGTACATGAGGATGGGGAGAAAGTATGGAAGTTTAGAGCAGAGAAAAAAATGTGTAAGATAGATATATAAGAGAATGAGAGGGGATAAAGTAGTAGGATTAGTGGGTAGCATTATAGGTCCACTTGAGATTAGTAGTCTTGAATTTAAAGTGAAACCAGAATATGGTTGTGTATTTCCCTCTACAGTGTAGCAGCACAGGTGCAGATGGAGACGAAGTGAAAGAATGACCATACAAGTGAGTAGCTAAGATGGAGAATGTAATCACTAGAGAGGAGGTCAGAAAAAGAGAGGCTAAGTTACTGGAAGAATGATCTATAGGGATACTAAAATCACTAAGAATTATGACAGTAGGACTACCAACAATGACAGTTGCTAAAAATCTTCAAGGAGTGAGGGGGAGTGACACAATATTGCTAGATAACTGCTGCAAGGAGTGGAAGGTGGTACAGTCTTGTGGCATAAGATTCAAAGTTGGGCAATTTTAAGAAGGCAGAGCAATAAAGAATGGTGAGGATGTCTACTCCACAACATCAAATGAAAACCAGAATGAACAACCCTCCAAAATATTTTTATTCATATGGGATTTTTAAGTTTTATTGTGTTTCATCAGTAATTTATCAGGCTGGCCCCTTAGCTCAGTTGGTAAAGCATGGCACTGATAACACCAAAGGGTTCAGGTCCCTGCCCCAGCCAGCCACCAAAAAATAATAATAATTTATCAACATAAGAGTTCCAAAGAAGATCTAAATAGTTGGAAAGACATGTCATGTTCACAGACTGGAGATGCAAAAACGTTAATTCTCCCCAAGTTGATCTACTGAATCTTAATCAAAATCCTAAAAGTCTTTGTTTTTGTGGTACTTGTCAAGAATATTCTATAATTTATATAGAAGTGCAAAGGGCCCAAAACAGCCAAAACCCTCATGAAAAATAAGATGGGAGGATTTACCCTAAAAGATATTAAACTCACTATATAACTATACTAATTATGACAGTGTAGAATTGGCACATGAACAGGCAAATTGAACAATGGAACACAATACAAAGCCTTTCTTGACTTCCTAGACTCACACACATATGTACCTGTGGCATATGACAGAGATGACAATACAAATCAAGGAGAAAGAAGAATAATGCAGATAGGAGCATATCTTATACACAATACTGCTTTTTTCCCCATGTATATTTTAGCCCCAAAGATCTCCCTCATTCTTGTTAACAAACTTAATAGTATTCAGAAGGGAAAATAAGCCTTGATTTCATACCTCAATCTTTACACCACTCTTCTTTTCCTCAAAAATCTAAAAGCAAAAATCTTAAGAAAACATGGAGAAATTTTTTAAATCTTGGATTAGAAAAGATCTAAGCAAAACTAAGTAAAATCTCTAATATAAAAAATTTTGAAGTTCTGCATGAACAAAGATCTCAGCAACAAAGTTAAAATTTAAAACTGACAAACATAGGAAAAATATTCATAATATATGTGGCAACCCAAGACCTAATTTCCTTATTTTATAACAAGTGCCTACAAATTAATAAGAAAAAAACCAAAAATCCACCATCAAAAAAAAAATCTAAGAAAACAATTATCTTAAAAGTCAAGACACAATTACTTTTGGAGGGAGGTAGGGAGAGAGAGAAGGGTTGTGATTGGGATGGGCCAAATGGATAGACTTCTAAAGTGATTATCAAAGTTTTACTTCTGGATTTGCATGGTGGTAAGGATGTTCACCTTACAATAATTTGTAAACTTTACATTTATTTTTTGAGGGGTTTTTGTGTATTTTATTTTACAATAAAAAGGTAAACAACAAAAACAACCCAGTAGAAATATGCAAAAGACACAGATGGGGAATTCAAAGAAAAAAATAACAAACACCTTTAAGGGTAGGAAAAAAAATGCATTCTTAACCTCACATATAACTTATAAAAATGCAAATTAGACAAAGCATTATTTTTCACTCAGACTGGCCATAACGTAAAATTTGTTAAGAAACAATATTGGCAAGTGTGTGGAATAGGAAGCATACATGCACTGTTGCTGGACCAATAAGTAACATTCATCAAAATTTTAAACGCATCTATCTTTTGACCCAGAAGTTCTAGTTCTAGGAATAAGCCTACAGATATGTTTGCAGAAGTCTACACAATTATGCTTACTGCAGCATTATATACTTTAAAAAACTTACAAAGTGTGAATTCTGCAACCAGACTGTCTAGGTTTAAATTCCAGCTTTGATACTTACAATCTGTGAGACCTTGGAAAAGTCACTTAAACGTTCTGTGCCCCAGTTTCCCTATCTGTAAAATGAAGATAATATTACATGCACCATAGCGTTATATGACAATTAAATGAGTTAATATACAAGCATATTTCACAAAGATCAGGGAAGGATTCATATCTTTTAATTTTATGTTTCCATAAACTTTGTAACAAAGTACCCTCGTATATAAAGCTCTTAGAACTGTACCTAGCATATAAAGAGCTATATCAACATTAGCTATTAACAATCTGAATATCAACTAGTAGAAGGCCATATCCAAAAATATTTACACTAAACATCCTACCTGCTATACCTATAAGATATAGTTCACAAAGTCAAAACCAATCTTAACAATTTCAGAATACTTTTAAGCAGAAAAGTCAAACATTCTATAAATATTTGTTTTAAATATAGTCAGCCCTCCATATCCATGGGTTTGGCATCTGTGGATTGAACTTTGAAAACCATGGAATACACTTTAAAGTGGTGTGGACTTTATGGTATGTGAATTATTTCTCAACAAAATAAGTAGTAAAGCCAGTCCAGTGGTGCACTGCTACAGTGCGCCGCTTCAGAGCGCAGCGGCGCTCACGCCGAGGGTTCAGATCCCACATACAGACCGGTTCCCACTCACTGGCTGAGCGAGGTGCGGGCGCGGCACCGAGGGTTGCGATCCCGTTGCCAGTCCCGGTCCGGTACGGGAGCGACACTGAGGGTTGCGATCCGTTGCCGGACACGAAAAAAGACAAAAAGGCAAAAAAAAAAAATAGCACCTGTATTGAACATGTAGATTTTTTTCCTGTCATTATTCCCTAAACAACTCAGCATAACAACTATTCATATAGCATTTACATGGTATTAGGTACTATAAGTAATCTAGAGATGATTTAAAGTACACAGGAAGATGTGAGTAGGTTATATGCAAATACTACACCATTTTATATCAGGGGCTTGAGCATCTGCATATTTTAGTATCTGTGGGAGGTCCTGGAACCAGTTTCCCCATGAATACTAAAGGATGACTATATACCTTAACTCAGAAATTCAGTGCAAATTGATCTTTCCCCTCTATATAGAACACTGACCAGGATATACACTAGCAGTATGCAAAAATAATGCAAAAGTCTGTGTATGTGTGTGTAGACATTCAACAAATTAGCTGGCTTGGCAATTCAATGTACCATTAAAATACAAATAAATAGAAATATTTAAGAGTTTGCTCTTTCTGCCATGTAAGGATACAAGGATAAGTGAGTTGTCTGCAACCTGGAAGAGGGCCCTCCACAGAACCAGAAAATACTTGGCACCCTGATCTTTGACTTCCAGCCTCCAGAACTTGAGAAATAAATGTCTGTTGTTCATAAAAAAAAAAAAAAAAAAAAAAAAAAAACACACATACACACACTTAAGAGTTTAACTTTTTCCCTTTCCCACATTTTGTATCCTTAAACTTATCTTTCCAGAAAGAGAACAAATCAATCTGCTGAGGTCCCCTGTTAGGACTACAACACCCAATCATTTATTTACGAACAACAATAACACTATCTTTAGGGATGATATTCTGCCATGCCAACTTCAAGTGACCCATAGTATTAACAGGGAAAAGATTAACATAAATGAAATAAACAGAAAAGTACTCATGTAATTCTAAGATGTATTCATTTATTCAACAAATATGCTCTTAACATATGCCATTTGTCAGACACTGTGGCTATAGCTGTAGAGGTGAAAAAGTCTCTGTAGTTATGAAGCTTACATTCTCACGGAGGAGAAACAATATAAACGAATAGACAAATAAATACATGATATGATTTCAAGTAGTTAGAAGTGCTATGAAGTGCTTAATCATACAATGCAGTCTGCAAATGCTTTCAGAATCCAGGACAATGAAGGTTTGAGAAACCTACTTGGAAGAATAAAGGGATTAGTACATAATAACGCTTAATACGCATTAACATTAGCTCCCTACCATTATCTTTATCACCTTCATCCTCATTTTTTTTTCCCCTTTTTTTGTCTTTTTTCGTGACAGGTAACGGGATCGCAACCCTCGGTGTTGCGCCCGCACTGCGCTCAACCAGTGAGCAGACCGGTCTCTACATGGGATCCGAACCCTCAGCGGGAGCCCTCCGCGCTCCCAAGCGCCGCACTCTACCGAGTGCGCCACCGGGCGGCCCTTCATCCTCATTTTTACTGCCATGGGCTCTGAGAGACGAGAAGCTGTAAAGGTGAAGGCTAGATTGCTGTAGATATTTTCAAAACATAAAAACATAGGGCCAGCCCGTGGCTCACTTGGGAGAGCGTGGTGCTGACAACACCAAGTCAAGGGTTAAGATCCCCTTACCGGTCATCTTTTAAAAACAACAACATAAAAACATAAGACTGGGAGGCAAGAATGGGCAAGGCAAATTTGTGAAACAAAAGAAAGTGGTCTGATTAGAGCAGAAGGCAGAGAAATGGGACTTGCTAAGCAGAATGGGTCAAATAATGGTAGCCTTTAAAATTAAAAAAAAATTTTAAACTGTTTTTTAAAGTGCCTACCATGGGCAGTTCCTCACATGTATCTGGTGTCCACCTCAAGGCAAAAGCAGAGATTTATCCAGCTTGAAATAGGCAACCACAAGGCTTTTGAAAGCAGTGGTTTAGGGAGGCCATTTTGACAAGTTGTATTTAATGGACAGGAAAAGATTAAGATGAAAAATTTTATGTTATGTGTTTTTAATACCATATGAAAATAAACAAAGACGACGGAGGATGAGGGAGCCTGACGTGCAGAAGACCGCTAAGAGTTGAATGCCTACACCACGGTGAAGACACAAGGGTGACCGGTCCTGCCGTGAGCCACTTAGGTGACCTGAGGTGGCGCGTTCTCCCGCCCGAAACGAGCACTCACACCTTCTTCAGAGAGTGTGTGAGAGAATAAAGCAGCAGCTTAGGAGAGAAGACATGTTTGGAGCATCCGAGGGGAAACCCGCAAATTAACCAGTTCCTTCCCTCCCCGTAGGGTCTTTCCCTAGTAACTGGCGAGGTTCTGGAGCAGGACTTAAGGCCCGGCTGGACGTTGGGTATCGAGTTCCCCGGCGGTAAAATGCCACCTTCGGCGCTGGAGTGCCATCTCCCGTAGCTGCCACCGCCAACAGCAAACTACCACCATTGCGGCGCGCTCCCCTGCCCACCTCTTACCGTCCCAGAGCCACAAAACAAACTCCGGTCGCCTCAGCGGTGCGTAGTCAATGCTCCCGGGCCCAGGATCTGTGCGCGCGCTGCTTGCTGATTGGATCTGCTTCTACCCATTCCAGCCAATCCCAAAACTCGCCCGGACCCTGACGAGAGGGCTGCGCCGCTGCTATGGGATTGGTAGCCACGTTGTGTGTCGCGCCTTTTTGCTGATTGGATCTGCTTCTACCCATTCCAGCCAATCCCAAAACTCGCCCGGACCCTGACGACAGGGCTGCGCCGCTGCTATGGGATTGGTAGCCACGTTGTGTGTCGCGCCTTTCCTGACGATTCTGACATGGCGGAGGAGAGTAGTGATTCTCAGCTGAGAAGGAGAAGGCGCCGGGAGCCAGAGGAACCGGAAAAAACGGAACTTAGCCAAAGACAGCTTGCAGTGGCAGTGGCCCAAGAGAACGATGAAGAGAATGAAGACTGCTGGGTTGGGCCTTTGCCTGTGGAGGCAACACTGGCCAAGAAGAGGAAAGGTAGCTGCAGAGATAGGCCCAGGGCGAATTGAAATACTGCGTCTACCGAGTGAGAGGGTTGAGTCAAAACCAGAGCCGAAAAGGGATGGTGTGTGATTGTGGGGTTTTGTGCTTTCCGAACAGAGGGTCGTCTTGTAACTCTGGCCACTCCGTGCTTGCACCTAGTCCCGAAATAGTGATCTGGAATTAGTACCGCGTCTTTCTGATAATACGGGGTACTTCAAAAAGTTTATGGAAAGATTCGTATTATCTTTTAATTCTATCTTTCCACGAACTTTTTGAAGTATCCAAAACTATTGATCACCGATTTGTTAGATTCTAAAGCTAACATTTGCTTATACTTATTATGCGCTTGGCGCTTCATTTAATCCCCACAGAAGCCGTATGAAGTTGAAATTGCTAACTCCGAAGAGCAGGTGTGGAAAAGAGTACTTTAAAGAGTACCTCTAAGGCTTTAATTCAGGAGCGGTGTTAGGGTTTGGAGCGAGGAGGAAAGCGGTGCCTCTTTAGAATCATAAAGAGTAGGTAAAAATCATCTCACCCCTGAGACTCTTCCTTCCACTGATGAATTTTCTGACCTAGGGAAAATTACTTAAGCTTCCTGGATCACAATTCTTTTCATCTAAAGCTCGTAGTCTATGGTTTTCAAACCATACTCTTGAGATACCTTGAGCTGAAGCATTTTGCCACTAATGTGGAATAATAACAAATTTTTATCAAATAGAAAGGGTGGGGAAAGGAATAAATTTTCTTGTTTATCAAGTTTTTCTGTGAAATGTTTTCCACAAATGTGTAAGATAATTTAAAGGTGGTCTTTCTAAGCTCAGATCTTAGTTTTTCACTTTCCCCTACTTAAAACTCCTCAGTGATTTCTCATTTTCAAAACAAAGCCCAAACCCCCTAACATGGCATATAAAGCCCTTTATGATCTTTCTTTACCTCCACCAAACACCTTCCATTACTCCCTACTTCTTACTTTGTGCTGCAGCCATACTAAATCCTTGAAAATGAGCCATGTGCTCTGAATGCCGGCCCAGATAACATGGTGTGTCTATAAGAATTTCCCTCACCCCCTTTCACTACGCTAACTTTTGATCAATCTTTAGCGCTTAGATATCACCTTTTCTGGGAAGCCTGTGACTTCTCCATTCTGGTCTGGGTTTCCAAAACATGTTGATCATAACTGTGAGGTAATGTTCATCACACTGAATTTACAGATAGCCTTCAAATGTTATGAATCTAAATTTTGAAGATGCTACTTGTACTTTTTTGAACATTGTATATTGACATCCTTAAAATGCGTTATCTTTTTTATTGCCTGGACCTCCTGTTAAATGTTTCCATAACAACCATTTTCTTCATGGCACTTGCTACCGTTTGTAATTGTAATTCATGTGATTCTCAGATTAATGTTTCTCTTCACCAACAAGATTGGAAGCATGGTAAGAACAAGGATTGTGCCTGTTTTGCTACAGTGTTTGGTATAGTGCTTTGCATATAGCAGGTGTTCTACAGGGTAGGAAAATGTTTCTGATATTTTCATGAAACTTTTTAGGTTTTTTTGTTTGCTTTTGTTTTGGTTTGGATTTTTTTTATTCCTAATGGTACCTTCATAAGAGTATTAAGCCAAAACCACTCAGTTCTTAAATCCTGGGTTGTTAAGCATCCATATTATACCTACAAACCTGTCATAATTGACTAAATAGTTTTGCTATTTAGTACTTTGAAATAATTAAAGTTACAACTGACATAACCAATACTGTTTTTTTTCTTTTTTTTTAATCATTACATGTGAATTGAGAGAAATTAAAGAAAATCTAAAAGAAAATGCAAAATAGAATTTAGAAAATTTTATGGGGCCGTCCCAGTGGCGCACTGCTACAGTGCGCCGCTTGGGAGCGCGGCGGCGCTCCCGCTGAGGGTT